GAAAAATATACACGAGGCGAAGCTAAGCTTCGCACCACTTGCGATAGAAAAGAAAATCGAAAAAAAAACTAGATCTACCATAATGAATACGGCTAGTCGTGAAGCAAAGACATGCCGAGACAATATAATGTAAAATTAGCATCGGAAGATAATTTACCAAGCAGTAACAAATACCTTGGCAGAAACCTTTTGACCCAAAAAAAATCACCAATATTTAAATGAAACGTCCCCCTCGCCCTCAAAACACTCAAAAACATCATTTGCTCGTCAAACTAAACAATATGAGACAACTAAGCCGAAATAATATAGCCCGAAACCTATTAAACCCAAAGAAGGAAACTTAAAAAAAAATTAAAAAGTTTATAAGAAGTTATTAAGCCCCCCCTCGACCTCAAAACACAGACACGCAACTCTCTCACATACATACACACATACACACACACACACACACTCACACTTTTTTCAACCGTCGAAGGACGCAATATGAGGCCGATAAGCCGATATAATTCATGCCGAAACCTATCAAGCCGAAACAAGGAGGAAAAAACAAAAAAAGCGATAAGAATTGTTGTCATGAAAAAATTGAATTATATTTCTATTACGATGTTTAGCATTTTGTACAATCCATTGGTGAACATAAAAATCGGTTTCCTTTAAAACACAACTAAATGAAGTCTCTAAGCCAATAAAAGGAAGACCTGAAAAATTTGGGCAAAATAAAGTTTTTTTAAAAAAATATACGCTGTCAAGGTTAAAAAAAATTACAAACAAACAGCAGAAGTAAATGAGAACAGTAAACGCTACTATAAGAAAAACTAAAATTCAACAAAGACGCGGAACTGCGCTTCGCAAACACTTGCGAGAACACGACCAAAAAGCAGCTCCATCAAGTGACAAAAAAAAGTAGAAATAAGCCTCGAAATATTTAAAAACTCGGCTACGAGTCGGATTCCAATCTGCGACCTTGCAAATTTGGGTCTCACGCACTAACCACTCAGCCACGGAAGCTTAAAATTCCCAAAAATTGGCCACCAATAAGGCAGCTACATATGCTATTAAATTGCCAATTCGACGCAGCAAAAGTAGCACCAAACACAAAAAGACAATTTTGCATGTTATAAATCGCAAAGTATAAAGCCACATTATGTATAAATTATGCATTGCGAGATACATTGAAACAGAAAAATTCTGAAATCGAGTTTTTATTATTCTTGTTGTTTGAAACAAAACGCTTTTTTTCGGTTCATTTGATGAATTAAAAATGCATCACCTGTATGAACTTATTACCTAATCGAATGTCAAAGCACATGCTATCAATAAGCTGTAAAGGTGCTCGAAAACTGGCACCAATATTTGCGGCTTAGGTTGAAAAAAAAAAGAAAGTTCTTCTCAACACACTTTGCTTTGCAAGTGTAAATAAACGATTTAATTGGATGGTAAAAACAAAGCTGAAACTAGCCCACAAAAAGTTGACCAAAAGCGACCGAAAATTCTGAAGTCGAAAATTCAAAAAAATACCAAAGATGTATCATTAAAAAAACTTGAACTGCGAATTTATTGGAAATACACTAACAAGGGTGCACAGTGAGAGTAATTGACCAATGAGCGCAAATATACGCACATACAGGATGCATGTCGTGTATTGCATGCATGCTGAAATCTGTGTACAAAGTTGTTTACAGGAAAAAAGTCTAGTACCCGATTGCGAGTCCATCGAAAACCAATTTTAGGTGCCATGCTAATCACGATCAAAACAAAGTCAATCGCCGACTTACTTCACGAGCTCAAATGTTTTATCAGGTCTACATTCATGACGCAGTGATGTTTCTCTAATGGTAAGAATACCGAATTAAACCGCTATGACAATAAAAATTAACCCAGATTACAAATTCTGGCAAGAAACAAAAACGAATGAGTCCAAAATTCGGCATGTCGTTTCATCTGAGGAAACGACACCGGATGGTTCTAAACTAGAATTTAAAACGTTGATAATTAGAAAAGTTAATGAAATAAACACTCAAACTTAGAAGTTTTAATTGAAAAAAATATATACACAATCCAGTAAGATCAGTCAAATCGAGACGAACTTGAAGAAACGGGGAAAACATCTAGGCGGTAACACCTTTATGCAAACTGATCACTCAAGCTAGCTTGAGTCATCTTCAGAAGGACTGCGCAAATGAAGTGTTTCCTCGAGAAATACTTACAATCAATGAAACCTTCGGATCTTTATGTAAAGTGATAAAAGTCAAGTAATGGTGAAGAATAATTTAGCATTGAACGAGACAGAACATGGGTCTAGAACTGCCGCCTGAATTGCTAGATCCGACATGTCTCTCCAGCCGCAAAGGGAACTACCTCACCTTTCCCAAAGAAAGGTGCGCGTATAGCATGCATTTCCGGGTTTTTGGCTTTGAAGACTCGTATTTCGGCTGGATCGCTGTGTTTTAGTTCTAACCCTAGTCTTTCGTGCGAGCCTTATTCTTAAACCTGGTATCTTTACCTGAAACCCCATATAATCCAAGTATTTTATGAACCCAAACAAGAGTCCAGTGCCAGCTATAATGAAGGCCATTTTATATATAGTGGTCTTATATGTATAATGCTCTCAAGCTCAATCCTATCACTTTAATTTTTTACACTCTACTAATGCCCTATGTATAAAATCAATCTTACGCAGAAGACTTCCACCCTTTTATTTAGTCGGGCAAAATTACTACAGAAACCTCAATTTTATCTCAAGGTCCCTTGTTTTTTTGCTCAAAATAATCGACCGGCCTATTTGGTTACCTAAAAAGATACAAATATTAAGCCGAAGGTGGAAATGAATAAATCAAGTCAGTACCTCGATAAATATCCCAAATACTTGTTACCTTCGTCCCTTCACTTCGCTAAACAATTGAAGCGAAAAGCCACAAAAGCGCGCGCAGGATTAAGTCCAAATAAACTTTAATGGTAACTTCAGAAGCTTCGGTGAGACTAAAACTAGACCATGGTAGCCATGCCTGGTCCCATGCTGCTAGAAAAACACCGTTGAATAAACTACAAACAGTACAAAATACTGCTCTCCGAGTGATAACAGTGTGCACAAAGATAAGTGCAGAAGAATATTCACAATAGAATGTAAACTTTAGAATATCGGCCATCAACATCCTCTGATGACTACAGAATTTGCCCTTATAACCCTCACTTTTTCAAATCCGCTACACTTTTATCATCAACATCCTGAAAAGCATTCCCGAAATTATCATATCCTGGAACAGTCGAGCGTTGCCGCTAGATTACTACTTTACCGAAATAGACACTATCCTATCCGAAACTAATGCCCACACGCCATTCAATTAACTCAAAACAAACTTCTTCTATCTTTAACGATTTTAAATTTTTTGAAAAGCAATTACATACAAACAGAGTTAGTCAGGCCATATCAGACGCACCACTCCAAAAACTTAACTCGGACCACCTGAAATTTACCCGGCCGAAGATTCTTTCCCTACTTCCACTAGGAGAATATTATCCCAGGTGAGATCCGGATACAGCCCGTTCCTCGACACGTACTTGAACCTACGACGACATGTTCGCCCGTGTTAAGCTGCGACGTTTTCGGTTTAAGCATGCCGGAAGGGCTTTACGATAAAGCACCGGCTCGATTAATGGCCCTGATAAAAAATTCTGGTAAAAGGTGAATGGGTCTAAATCTTGAAAATGGAGGGTTTTAATGTCGGAATATTGAAACTAAAAGGACGAAGAGGAATAACCAAGAACGTCTGAAGATTTAACCAACTTTGGGTCGATGTTGCTAAAGAGATGAATTTGCCAATTGTTACCAATCGACACATGCATCATATTTGGAATGATGGGTTACATTTAAATCTTGCGGATTTTTTTTTTCGCCCATCGGTCTTGCTCAGTGCAGGACCAACCGTGGGGGAGGGAGATGTCATCCATTTCGCCGCAGCCTGTCCCACCTTGAGGAGGCGGATGACACTGGGACCCCTCCAACCTTGACCGAAGTGGGATTCGAACGCATGTCACTCGTGTTGAGACACGTGCGCCTAACCCACTCGACCACGGCTGCTCCTGTAGATATTATATTATTACTGGCCACTGATTTTGAGAACTAACGACTAGCTAATAACGGGGAGAAAGGAAAAGTACGAATGATGGGGTAATAGATTTGTTTCGGGTTTTAATTTATATCGACTCGGTTGCGGAATACATATCCAGAAATTACGGATAATTCCTTCGTTTCGGTCCGGTTAAAAGCCGAATAATTTAAAGATTTTGGATCGTGGAAAAATCGCAGATAGTCGAAGTAACTAGGACAAATGGTCGCTAAAAGGCTGAAGTAAAAACCTCTGAGTCTCAAAAAGAGGGCGGTAAACATTACGACCATCATCAAGATTATTAGCAAATCCACTGACTTTCTTTCAGGTACCCTGTAACCTTACCAAAGAAAATCATTCACCTTTCGCCATAGTTCCTTCCCACTCACAGAGCTGAGAAAAACAAGACAACTCTCATAAAAATCATCTGACAAAACTCAAACCTCAGCCAATTTTAATATTACGATTCAGCAAGTGCACAAGTTGATTAAAGGGCCAGTAAGCATACAAAAATTAAAGTTAACTTCCGTTGAGAGATCAACAGTTACCTTCAACGAAACAAAAACCTCTGGCGCTATATGAATACTTCGAAATTTCAAGATATCTCCGAAGATCAACATATTAGAACCATTTGATTCTAAACATGAAACGATTCAACAACCTCAGGATCTATTTCAAAAAGTTTGCGCAAATAAATTCCAAAACACAACTTTTCGAGCAGTATCAAATTTGCCAGCTTACTGATACTGAAGACTGCACATCAAGTATCAATTGTGTCCGAAGTGACTCAAAAATAGCATCCATTTTTCCGATAACTGAACCCCGCTTGACCGCTTCAAAAATAAATGAAAAATGTAAATCATTTTCGAATATAAAACAAGTTTGAATTTGAAACCTACTGATTCTACGTGAATTATAAACCAAACAAATACAAAGCTATAAAACAAAACCTTTTTCTATCTCAAATGAACGTTATAAATCTCTCCACATTTTAACACTCTTATCATTTTCAAGTGCTCCTGAAGCCAAAATGTTCTGAGTCGGATGGCAAGCGGTTGTAATCACAACATCAGAATGACCCGACAGCTTTTGCACAACTTCTCTGGATTGTAGATCCCAAATATATACCATTTTGTCTTCGGAGCCCGAAACAATCCACTTATTGGCTGTCACCGAAAAGTTAGCGGCAATACAATACTGCTCATTCAAATGACCAATATAGCTTTTAAGACATTTGCCTTTGTTAAAATCCCATAGTTTAATATGACTGTCAAGCGTAGAGGAAAGAACATATTTTCCATTGGGTGAAAATTTGACGAACGATACCGGAGGATTATCTGGGTTTGCTATAGTTTTAATGCATTGCCAAGTATTTGTTTCCCAAAGTCGGCATAAACCATCATATGAAGAAGTAACCAATAAATTACCATCTCTGTTGAAATCTACTGCCGATACTGGTTCTCCGTGGGCAGTCAACATTTTAATACAACTGCCAGACTTGACATCCCAGATGCGAACATTTTCGTCAAACGAACCAGAAACAAAAACTGAATTCTGAGGATGAAATTGGCAGCAAAAAACATAACTAGTATGGCCCTTATAAGTCGATAGACATTTTCCCGCCGCAACATCCCACAGCTTTAAGCTTCGGTCATCGGAAGCCGAGCAAATTTGTCGAGAATCAGGATCCCAACAAACATCCGATATTCCACGTTCGTGGCCGGACATAGTTTTCTCAAACTTGCCATCAAAGGCTCCCCAAAGTTTAATCACACGATCTGCCGATGCAGTTGCCAAAATTTCTCCATTGGGACTGAACTTCAAAGTAGAGACACTTTTTGAGTGCCCTGTAAGAGTGTATTTTAAAGAATAATTAGGTCGAAGAATTCCAGATTTAACGTTCTGAGAATCGCTACCAGGATTCGACGTTTTTTTGGCAGACCCATCCATTTGAAATCTGGAAAAACATGTGCATGCTTATTCTTCAACTTTCGTTCACCGCAATTTGTGAGGAAAAACAATCAAATTAGCCACCTTTATAATTTGCTACATCGCTTACATCTAGACTTTCCTGAATTTCACGGCAAACGATACATTCGAAGAGACGTCAACTTTGAAAGCTCATAATTAGTGTTAACGCCCAGAGCACATATCCCATCTCTAGTATTCATTCCCTACAATTTCAAGGCAAAAACACTTGGATTGTCTAACTTAACACTAATCACAGAACTTAAATCTAAAGTCAAAACTTAATTTCACTTTGAACCATTTCTTTGTGATCTTTCTCATTATAGCCCCCTTACCTTCCCAAAATATTAAAATCACAGTGTGAGGACAATAAATTTCTCTTTTGGCGGACAGGGGATGGGAAAGACCCTATAGTTAAAGTTCAACATTTGGAAAGCTTATTACAATTCAGTTAAGCCAAAACGCCTTGTTCCAAAAAGTACATACCTAATTAATATGACAGCACTTTGTAACATTCGTCTGGAAAAGAGATCTTCGACGCGCAAAAAGTCTACCCAATCTCGAACATGCGATACTTGCAATTTTCAGGCAAAAACAAATTCTATTAATTTTAAGCTGATTACTACAATTATACTTCTATACAAGGTTTCGCCAAAACAAAAACTGCACTTTGAAAACACAAGACAGAACACTGCCGTAAGTAGCTTTAAAAAGAAGTGAAATAAGGAAAAAAGATAAGGTTAAAATAACCCTTGAAAAAAACTTCTGCTATGTGTCTTACTCAAACCTCCAACCTGGAGATTAAGAGTCTCACTTTCTCGCATCTGTTCCATGATCACTTGAAAATTGAATAACATTAGCTACCAAAAAAAAACTGTTACATTTACTATTAAACTATCGATCCTGTGCAGAATTTTCTGCAATCTAAGGGATTATCACAAGTACCTAAATTATAAGCAAGACAAACATTTCAAATAAATTTCATCAGTGAATATGATTTTGTGATTTTGAATCAAAACTGCATTTCGATTAACAAAAAAGCCCTAACAAAAACCTCAAGGCAAAATCCTATGCAGAATGCAAAATATTGATGACAGTGTATAAAATTTAGTCAAACGAAATATTAGAAACCATAATAAAAAAAAACGCTCAATAAAATCCTTTTTTTTTCAAAAAAAATTACATCTATACCTCCCAAATTCAAAAAAAATATCTATTTTTCGACCAAGACATACATTTAAAAAATAGTACCACAGACACTAGACGTGAACACATGATACAGAGCAGCATAAAAATGAGTTAAAATCAAAACATTCAGAGAAAAAATATATATATTTTCAGAACGATGACAGTGGCGGGCGTCGTTTGTATAGGTCAAAAATGTGGCCGATAAATCAAGCGATACGTTCAGCGATACATATGATGATACGAAATGACTAGCAATCAGGTTTCGAATACATCATTAATTTTTTCAATTACTATTTTTTTTAAAAGATCATATAAGTGATTTTTCTTGAAAACTATTAGATAAACAGTTGTTGTCTTTAAAGGCTCAAGTCGTAAAAAAAATGTATGCGCACTCAAAAAGAAGCTCTTATAATCAATCAAACCTAGATTTAAAAAAAAATTCATTAATTTTTTTTGAAAAAAAACTCGAAACCGAGCAATCATTTTTGGGACTGAAAAAAGAACCAAGTGTTTTTTTTTTAATAAAAAATAATGATTTATAAACCACGCCAATTCAATAACAGAGAAAATCAAATGGATCAAATGATTTATAGATAGAAATAAGAAACAAAAAACTTCCAATGACTGCTTTAAAAAATAGAAAAGGAAGAATTGATTGACTACAAACTTTAAATAGTGAAAAACATAAACAAAGAAAACTCTCAAGAAAGCTGTCTAAAAATGGAAAAAAAATCAAGGCTTAAAAAATAAACACAGAGGCGAAGCAGAGCTTTGCAACACTTGCGATGCAAGAAACACATTGCACTACAAAAAAGTGAATGAAGAAAAAAGACAGCAGTCAAAAAAATTATGTTTGAAAAAGTTACATGAAAAAACATCAAAAGTTGAAAAATTACAGTTATAAAATATTCATATTTGTATCAGATGAAATTCATTATCGTTTAGCGATCGGCGACAAAGTTGATAATCATTTAACGATCGGCAAGAAAGGCGACAAGCATTTAACGATCGGCAACAAACTTTGTGTCGAAACCTATTGAGCCGAAAACAAAACTATTGTCATGCAAAATTTCATTCAATTTAAGTTTATACGACTCATGAAACTGAAAGACATAATCCTAAACGGATATGTTTTGCTTTCGAAATTACGCAAAATATGTTGACTGAGTCGATATAAGATAAGCTGAAACTGTTGAAATATTTAAAGAAAAACAAAAAAACTCTATAATAGACATGGCAAATTTACTTGAAGTTTCAGTAAAAGTAAAAACTGTTAAAATTGGAACAAAACCAATGCTTTAAAAAGGAAACCAATAAAAACCTTACCAGATAAAAAACATCGTTGAAAAAACGGAAATGGAAATTGAGATTATTACGACCGAAATTTATTACAACCTGAAACGGGCTTGAACAACTAACTATCTAAGTGGTAGTACTTATATTTGGATTTTCAAGAAATTGAGCTTGTCAGATGAAAGATCCTCAAGAAGTTATCCTCTAGAAGTGAAGATGCTATGTACAAAGTTGTTTAAGGGGAAAAAGTCTGGTACCGATTGCAATACCCTTGCTTATTGCAAGGGTAAGAATAACCTTCAGTAGAAAACTTGATTAAAAAAATGATGTGAAGAAAAAAACTAAATCACTGAAAAGCAGTTTCTTGAAAAGAAGAAAGTAAATCATACGGCAATTTTTTTTAAAGAAAAAAATGGTATGTCTGCGAAGCTTTTTTTTTAATCAAAAAACAGGATGCTTTTTTCAAATAAACACGACAAATCACCGCAGAGCTTTTGCAAAAAGAAAATAAACAAAAGACTGCAAAGCTTTTTCAACAGAAAAGTGAAATAATAAAGCAACAAATTGCCGCAGAAAACTTTTTACAATGACAACTTTAAGAATATTTTATGTAAAAAACGCCCAACTTGGAGGAGACGAAACACGAGAAAAACTTAAACCTTTAAACCAACACATCAAAACAATTCGACCGCACAAAGAATTATACAGACAACAATAACAGTAAAAATTTATTGAAACAGCAATTATCCAAAAAATCGTACACAAAAAAAACGTATAATTGTTAGTTGCATTGAGAAAAAACTTGAATATAAAACGCTCAAATCACAGCAAAACTTGAATTTTGTTGAAATCGTAGGCTCAAAAATCAGAAAATACTTTTTTGCTATTGTTATAGAAGTCAATTACCTTGCAATATCCAAAAACATTCAAGGTGAACAATCAGGGATAAAGGCCCTATCGGCTATAGCATAAGATCAAAGTGAAAAAGAGCTGGTCCCAAGGCCGCATCCCGGGTTCTTGGCGCAATGCCGTCATCGTGCTGATCCTGAAGAACGGGAAGCCAGCCTCGCAGATCAAGAGCTATCTTCCGGTCTCCTTGCTTGCCTGCGTGTCGAAGATGATGGAGAGCATGGTGACGAGGCGCCTGAAGATGTGGGCAGCGGACGTGGGAGCAATCCCGCCCCAGTAGTCTGGTTTCCAAAAGGGCCGGATGACACTGGACGCGATAGCCAACATCACCTAAAAGGCTTTTGACAGCCTCCAGAGACGTGAGAAAACCGTAGTCGTTGCCGTCGATCTGAAAGCAACTTTCGACAGACTTTGGAAGTTCGGGCTACTCCGCGACCTTGCAAGCAGGAAGCTCCATCCGGTCGCTCTTCGGTGGCTCAAAGCCTGACTGTCGGACAGACGCGCCGCCGTTCGTTGGGGCTCAGCCACCAGCCGCGTCTTCAAAGAGGGCGTCCCACAAGGGAGCCCTCTCTCCCACCTGCTTTTCTGCTTGGCGACAGCGACCCTGCCGACCAGAGTGTGCTCGGCGGCCCCGGGCGTGTTCGCCGACCAGTACGCTGATGACTTTACGATGTCTGCGTCCGCTAGAACCGTACCGGAAGCAGCCGACCTGCTCAGGCCAGCCCTTCAAGAAGTGGAGTCGTGGGCGAGCGACTATGAGGTCCTGCTCTCGACAAGACTTCCGCCCTCGTCGTCAGCCTGGACTCAAGGGAGACAGCAGGTAAAGCAGACCCTGCCCTCTACCTGCTCGGCGACCGAGTCGGCACCACAAAAGGAGTGAAGATCCTGGGGGTTACTCTGGACCCGCAATTGTCTTTCAGCGCCCACGCAGCAGATATGGCAACGAAGATCAAGAAACAAGCCCAGATACTGCAAGCCCTCTCAGATAAAGATTGAGGCCTCACCTCGGATGAACTGGCCGTGCTTATGCCAAACCAGGTGGCCTCTACGCCATCGACATCTGGGGACCGTTCCTGACTGAATCCAACCTCCAACCCATCGAGGTAGCCATCAACCGGGCGAACCGAGTTATCACCGGTACTCCGACAGGCACTCCGGCCTCGGCCTCCCTTACAGACGCTCGCTTCGGACCAATTTACCAGGAGATCGAAGATCGTGCGGCGCTGCTGTGTGACAGATACAGAAGATACCCAGAAGCACACCACCTACACGACACCAGGACTCAGACCAAGACTCCGATCAAGAGGAGAACAATCCTTCCGACAAGCCTGGCGCTCGGTGGCCAGAAGACGTCTTGACCAGAAGGAGGAAACGTCTTCGAGCACCTTGTCGCACAGCGCAAAGACAGGCAGCTTCAACAGTACAACGAAAACGCCCCGAGTCCTCAGCTCACCGCCGAACCTCAGGAGGCAAGCCGCTGGAACGCTCTGTGAACCGCTCGAGACAAGGGGAAGTCATTCTGTTCAAACTGAGAGCCAGCAGAGCCACTTTCCTCCGTCAGACTCAACATCGGTTCGGATACACAGATAATCCAT